TATATATATATATATATATATATATATATATTTCATTTTTAAATTTCAGGAGACAAAGAATGGATCCCAGATCAAAGCATCTGTCCCCCTGCTGATAATGCAGTTGGCTCAGGTATTCTGCTGAATGCCACGACTATGTCATCAAACACAACACAGCAAAAGATGAATAAGAATATTTACAATATGAGTAAGTTCACAGTATCATATTGATGTCTGGAAAGACTTTATTGTGTTAAGTATTGTGGTTTGTGCTTATTAGGCATCTGAAAACTAGTTTTATGGTTTTATAATTTAAACAGATTAATTTTAACTAACATTCCTAAATGATTTCCTAATCCAGAAAACAAAGTATAATAATTATTCTTCTCAAAAACATGAATTAAAATTTTAGGCATTCTCAGTAACAATACTTCAGAATGATATTTTTCAAACATAGTTCAGGATATGTCATATATTTTGAACAATCTATGCAAATACATATTCAGTTTAATTACACTCTCAGCAAACAGTGTATTTATAGTAGCTTTTGTGTACATTTTGTTCCACTTGTTTCAGATACAGCCATTTGTTAAATAACTGTCTTAGGTTTAGATTGCTACATGTAGCCATGGTTACTCAATCTGTATTCTAAACCTAACACTGAATCTGTTAACACTAAGATCTTGATTTCAGTTCATTAACTGCTCTCTAGGCAAAATTGTAAGGTTTTCTAATGGGTAACTCTTTAGACATAGTAATGCTGGTATGTTTTCTCATGAGTGTGTATGGGGAATTTTGACATTACTAAAATCAATAGTTTTATTATATTATACTTTTTAATATCCAGTCATATCTACTAAAGTAGGTTTGCTTTATTCTGAATCTCATATGAAGTAGCAGTATAGGATTTATAAATTGATAGCATTTAGCACACATGTGTTGAGCAGGTAGGTACTGCACTGAGCCCTAGTTGTGGATGGATGAAATCATATTCCTTGACTTCAGAAGCTGTTGGTTTCAAGGACCATTTGTCAAAGGGGACTGTTTGTCTCTGTTTGAAGACTTATTTTTGAGGCAGACATTTTATTGCTAGTGATATATATATAAATATAGAAGATTTATATGTCTCTTTTGCTCTAAATCCTAGGGTTAAGATGGCCAGATTAGATCCTTCCCATATGCATTTATGCAAAATATGCCAAATATTTTTTAAGTGAAAAATGTTCATTTGTGATTTTTTTTGTCTATTGTTTTGCTCTATAATGAGGTACCATTTTGCACCTCTAAATCATTTATCAAAAATGTTGTTTAATTCCTATGAGGCAATCAAAGGAAGTGTTTTGAGTCACTGTGTATGGGTTAAAAACAAACTAAAATGAATGTTATGAGGATTTTGTTAGTAGGATAAATCTTAATAAAGGAGTAACTGTAACTGGTGACTAAAGCCATAAACTGTGCCTATGGAGGGGGTTGCTGATGAGGTTAGATAGCCCTAGGGAAATTGCTAAAAAGTATCGCATTTCAGGGGATAACAAATTATACGAAATATAAGGGACTAAGGACTATAGAAATAGCCATAAATTATTCAGTCTTCTGGATTCAGCCTTTCAGATTCAGCATTTGGGGTCTGCATATTCTGGCCCAGACCTGGCCAGTCTTCCAGAAGGTTGTTGTGGGCCTCTGAAGGTGGAGGCCTCCAGTAGCCAGCCTCAGAAAGGAAGAGTTCAGAGGTTTTTCATATAGCCTGGCAAATGACATGCTTCCTGGTTTTGCTGTGGGTGCAGCTGGCACCATACCAAGGTGTCTCAATGAGGTATGAGTATGGCCATTTATTGGGTCATTCAGTCACTGTTTTTTGTGTCACTTGTCTGTTGCTTGCTGGGGCATCTCTGCGACTCTGGAAGCATCTCCTGTTTGGTTTTCTGGCCTATAGTCTCACTGCCACATGTTCAAGGCCTTGGTGGGTAGATTTGATCTTGGGCATGGTGTATATTGTGTGGAAGAGGAGCTCTGTGTCCTCAGTGGTAAGAAGATCACATCTTAACCACTTTTGTTTAGGACTAAAAAACACTGGACACTGCTTTGGGTGAGGAAAACAGCATTTTTGGCCTCAGTAACTCTTAGGTTTTTCTTGGTTTGTTAAATTAACCCCATTGTTGTTGTTCCCTGAGTCTGAGTAGTCTTGCAATTGTGCTCATGGTGAAGAACTCAGACAGTGACCTGTAACCTGCTGGGCAGTGCCCGTGGCCAGGTTAGTGGCCCTTGATGCCTGTATCATAAAAAGTTGGCTTGAAGTTCATATTTTGGGTTAGCAGCAAAATTTAATAATTTACAATAAACACGATTTGTGAGGATATCTTCTTTAGGTGATGTGATCCCAAACATTGGTGATAAAAATAAGCCCTGTTCCTGTTGCCTGAGAGTTTTGCAGTCAGTACAGAGGTCCTCAATCATCAGTGGAACTAAGTCACCTGGCAAAACTGTTGTAAAGTGATTATAAACCTGATCCTGACACATTTTGTTTCTTTAAGATTGAGATAATATCCAGGAATTTGTGTGTATTTTATTGACAATTCTATTTTATGGTGCTATAGACACGCCAAGAACATACATTGAGAAAAATGGTATATAGATATGGAAACACAAATTACAGGTTTTATAAAAACTCTGTGAGCAGCATACGTTTTGTGGATAATAGGTAATTAACAATATTACATTAAATCAAGTATAATGGAGGTAGGTATGCATGCAGATTTATTCAGCCATGTAGATTGCCATTAAAAATATAGATTTAAAAACTATTAGAGACATAATGACATTTCAGGTAAATTTGAAAGAGTAAGTGTTATCATGGGCAGAAGGAAATGTCTTTGTCAACAGAGATAGTGACCTGAAATTAAATGTTTCCTAATTCTGCCACAAGTAATAGAATTTCTATATTCTCAATGATAACTATTTTATATGCTGTTTCTGTAAAAAGTTTTAAAACTGTGAATGTGAAAACATAACTGTGAAATACATTTTTTTTTCACAGTAAGCCCATTGATTCTGCACAAGCTGTTTCTATTTTGCCTTCACCTCATCTTATTATGTCTATAAATTTGGCACCTAAAACTGAGCTGTCCTCTTACTGTATCCTAATCATTTATAAACCCTGCTAACTTAACCTCTAAAATCTACCACAAATTTGTCTCCTTCTATTTTTATTAATTAAGATGAGCCCAAGTCAATCTCCCATTCCCTTTCACTTGTTTCCAATTTAGTTTTGCCTTTTCCCAAAACATTTCCTTCAAATTGTACTATGTATAGTCAATGAACAAATTGTTTATATTATAGTCACAAAATGTGTATAGCTGATAGGAAGTGAATCATAATATCCACAAACTAAAATCATAGGTTGTACAATTCTTATCTCCTGCTTAAAAGTATCCCTTAGTGGCCCTCCCTGGTGGCCCAGTGGGATAAAGCACAGCACTAAGAAGCTAAAGCCACTTCCACATGAGTTCAATTCCTGCCTGCCCCGGAGGTGATGTGACCACATGGCGCAGCAGACCTCTCCTGATCCTTCAGCTGCTCCCCTCAGCAGTGTACTTAGATGATCTATCTGTTCTGCTCCCCACTCTGTCTCTCGTGAATTCTCTCACCGCCCCTGCACGTCTGATTTGTACCCCAGTTCTGTACGCACAAACAAATCTTAAAAAAAAAAAAAAAAAAAGTATCCCTCAGTCTCTTGCCCACTTTGTGTTCCATAGTACCACAGGTGCTGGCTTTGTACGTTTCTCCTGTTCAGCTTTCTGCACATTGTAGTATGTTGACTTCCTATGTGGACCAGGAGACTTGCTGACTTAATTCTTCATTACTATCTAGAATGCTCTCAGCCTCACTCACACTACTTTAAACAATTTTCCATAGGATTGTTTCATGTTTTTTTCTATATTGTGGTATGCTTTATTGTGTATTGTTTTATAAAATAATATATGATTTAGGAGAAATAGTTCATACCCCTTCAGAAGTATTGTGTCACACCACACCCACCACCACAGCACCTACATCCCTCCATCATTGTCCATTAGGCCAATTTCTCCCTTTGCTCTCTAACTTCCACCCTTCTCAGAAAACCTTAATCTGTAATAAGAGTCAGGTTTGTTTGGTTTAGTTTTGTGTTTCATTGTTTTGTTCTTTATATTCTACAAATGAGTGAAATGTATGATTAATGTTTCCCTAATATTCAGTGTTAGGCCATATGCTCCCTGCTTAGAAAGTTCTTCTGAGATCAATGCTGGACACTTATTTGCATTTACATCATTTTATCTGTGTCATAGAATCTATAACTAGGTTAATTATTTTGTTTGCTTGTTTATTTGCTCACTATACTCTTAGTTGGAAAGCAAATAAGAGAC